AAAGTACAGGTTTGCCTGCAGCAGGATAACCTTTTCAACCAGAAAGAAGCTGCTGCCCTCTTAATACAAGAGATATCTGAGACACACAGTGGGCCAGGAGAAATGAGTCCTCTTGTGCCAGAGGGGTGAGACATGCTAGTTCTGTACCACAAACAAATTAGGAATAAGGTATTAGCATTGTATTTTACCTCCCTTTAGTTCAGTTGCTATCTGTAAGGAGAGAGGAGGAACTAAAAGTGTGAGGCCGGTGATGAGTACAGATTATCAGTAATCCTCAAGCCACTAATGGAAAATCTCTGATCTGTGGTCTTTTATACTTTGATTTATTTGAGAAAATGTCCATTTGCCCCAGATCTTTGCACTTCAAAAGTTTTATTTTCCCTTTGGTGTTCCTTAGGTCACTGAATATTAATAACACAGAATAGCACCATTTTCCCCAAAGATCTTTTTATTTGTAAAACTTTTAAGTATTTTATGGATGAGACTTCTAAAGCAACCAGTTCCTAGCAGGCTAAAAAACACAAAGGAGGAGACATATGTCTATATAAGAAAAACGCCTTTATCTGGAATTTATACCTATGAGCCTTGCTTAGTGGCATCTCCTACAAAGAGAGTTCATTTATGATTAATTTTGCAGGATTGACACTTGGAACTCCCTGTATACTCTAACCATAAATTGTGAAATGAATTGTGGAAACTTCTGCTTCTGGTAGCTCAATCCTGATTATCTGATCAGTCCTTTTTAAAAATTCTGTTTGTTACCAGTGTGTGTTCTGAAATTGATGGTGAGTGTGGCAGCCTCTGAATGATTGGTAGTTGGTTGAAATAGTTGTGGTGTATATTTTTACAAAAATAGCAATTACACAATATAGGACTAGAAATGAGAATAGGAACATTTTGTGTTCATGTGCACTGGTTTTCTTAAAAATTCAACTTGTAAAAGCTGAAGCAGCCCCTCCTCCCATATTTTTTTCCTCATCAGTTTATGTGTATTTCCTACAAATCATATTTTCTTTTTAGCTATTGATGGCTGTCTCTGGCTATAACACAAGGCTGATTAGAGTGCCAGGAAAAGTTCCTAGGTTTTCAGTTCAGTAGTAGCTGAGTAGCATAATTGTTTTAGGAGATTAACCTTCATACTGAGACAGATGGAGCTGATCCATCTACATGTCTACTATAGAAGACTAGCCAAACACACACAACAGCCACCCCACACTACTACAGTCTCTTAGCAACTGTCATCTACTGATGGCCTTGCCTGGTGGGGAATTAAGACATTGTTCTGTCCGAGCATCCCTTCAGACAAAACTCTGGGACCTATCAGTACAGGAAAAAAATGAACAGAGGGCTTCTTTTTTTTTCAGGAGTTACTTCTGTGCTTGTTTCTTCCACTCGGAAACACTTGTTATTCCTTCTCTATTTTCCATGATTTCTGGTGAAATGGTTCCTTATCTGTTTGTTGGGTTTTGAGACTTTCTTTTTTTTGGTCTTTTTGTTGAGTATGGGATATTACAGTGAAGCTGTTGTCTATCATGGATATTCCTGGAATTTCAATCAGCTTTGCAGGTTTGAAATGCACGCATATGGAGAGAAACAAGTGGTGCTTCACCCAGCTAATTTTATTTTTAATTCACAGATAGTTGTTTCTAGCATTAGAAAGTTAATTCCCCTAATTGAGGGAGAATTAACAGTATGTGTGCTTCCCAGTGAACAAAACATGGGGGACTGCAACAAAACCTAGTTTAGATCCCATTCATGAGGTATGCACTTGTTCAGTGATGTAGTATGTTGATATCCCCTGCTGATTGTGCTCTAGAATATATAGTTTTACATTGTATTTATCCGTTCATCCTGA